TAGTAATAGCGTTTTCGATTTGCTGAGTCGACCCGACTCCGAGTCAGAAAATCGAAAACGCTATAACACGATCGCGCGCATCGTTCCGTGCCATTCCTACGGCAGTTTGAATCGTTTGAATGATAACGCGGCACAACACGTCATTTGACTTCGGAGGCGGACCGTCGAGTCGTATAGCGTTTTCGATTTTCTGACTCGGAGTCGGGTCGAGTCAGCAAATCGAAAACGCTAGTAGTCTACCGTTCGCGCTCAGCTATTCCTTCGATGTAACTTGAGTAGAGGAAAGCCGCGAGTTTGTCGATTCCCTGGTGAAAATAGAAGGAGCGTAAATCGAATGTAAGGGGCGAGTGATGGAAGCGCAAACGAAATGTGTGGGAAGCGTAATTTGGAACAGCAAAGCGTAAAAGAAGCGTTGAAGTTTCTTTTACGCTTCTCTGTTCCAAATTACGCTTCCCACACTTTTCGTTTACGCTTCTATCACTCTCTCCTTACATTCAATTTACCCTCCAATTTTTACTTTCACCAGGGTTGCTCGTCAATAAAAATTATTCGAGACACCGCGCGAGCGATATTAAAGTGGATACTCGAGTCGCGTCGCTGACTCGCGTAGTATCGCGCAGTAGCGCCGGGCACCGGCGCCATGTTGGTCTGTTCGAGAAGCATCGGTGGGTGCCGCGCGGACACGTCTCCCGCGCCGACGGTCGTCGCGACGCTTTTCGCGACGGTGGTGAGTAACGCTGGTCAAGTTGGGCAATCGCGGCGTAGATTATTCGATACTCACGCGTCGGCGATCCACCGGGGCGCGCAAATCTCGCGAGAATCCCCCGGCCGGGATCTTCGGCGCAGCCGCGCGGATCCTCGCGGCGCCGCGGGTACACCGAGCTGCTGGTTTAACTCGCGTCTCGTCGCGCGTGTAGAAATACCCCGAGTTTTCCACGAGTCACGCGCGGCGTGAGAAATGTTTGGCGCGAGATCGCCCCGTTGAACGAGCGAGACGCGTCAGGCCTCGCGTATCTCCCGAGTCCTTCCCGCCATTTCGCGCGACGCCATCTCGCCAGGATTCGGCCCGTATTTCCGCCGGGAGTGCCGTGTCGTGCGTTACTTCGGTAATCAGCTACCCTTTCGCGAGCGTCGCGAAATGGAGGAGTCTGAGAGGAGGCGTCGGGCAACGGCGGAGCAACTCTGTGGTGGGCACGATTGTTTGTGCAGCCGTCGTCCGTTTATACCAATATCCTTTTTATTAAACCTCGGGGCTGAGTGTTTTAAGTATGAAAATGTTCTGCTATGCGGTCCGCAACTATTATCTTGCCGTTATTTTGTGCACGAAAGCTAATAAAAAAAGAAACATATTTTCCAGTGCAAAAACTATATGTGTCGGTAAAACAGATCGATTACATACGCTCTCTCGGTTGTCATGGCGACGGGTGCCTCGCCCCGTCCCGTCCAGGTGGCGCGGCGGTCGCGCGGCGAGCATCGCGAGCGCATACCGCGCGGCGGCGATCAGTAGCGGCATTGACGTTCGGGGTAGTGGTTGGCGCGCGTCGTACCCCGTGTACACCCCCCTGTCGCGTTCACGCAGCACGAGCGGATCGGAGCGCGCGTCGCGCGCGGGTACTGGCCGCACGGGAGGCCGCCGTTGCCGCCTCCGCCTCTTCGGCCGCGGACGCCGCGCATCGCCGAGGCCCCGCGTTGCGTTGCGGACCGCGCCGCGTGTGCCCGTGCCCGAAAAATGTAATATGGCGATGGTTGCGTCGAACATGAGCGGCCACATACAGAAGCAGCTCACCAGGAGCCTCGAGCGGATCCTGGAGGAGGCGCACCTGAGCGGCGAGCTCAAGCTGAGCGGCCGTAAGCTCAAAGACTTCCCGAAGGTCGGCAAGGCCGGCGCCGCGGCAAAGTACAATCTGCAGGACACCGTCGTCGCCGGTGAGTCTCCTTCGTACCCTTATATTCCTCCCGGGAGCTCCCGGAGCCCGTCTGTTCTCCCCCCCCCCCCTGTTTTGACTTGCCGTCGCGAGGGCGGACGCTCGAGACGCGGGTAAACCACGCTCGAAACCCCCCGTTTGTTGGCGTTTCGCGAGGATTTCGTTTGTCACGCCGCGTTTAATCGCGTCTCTTGCTCCGCGACGCGCGTTTTGTGTGTCAGCGCGCGCGACGGATTCGTCGCGCCGTGTCGATGCACGCGGCTCCGATATCTGCGATTTCCGCGTCAACGTAGCGGAGAGATGCGATCCGCGTTTCGGGCAACCGCTCTCTCGCTATTTCTACAAATGTCTGCCTGAATACGGTCCATCCTCTTTTCGGCGAATTCGCCCGAAAATCTGCTTACGCTAAGAGCACGAGTGTTTTAGAAAAATTCCGATACTTTCGTTAGATCGAGCCTACGTTTGCGCAAGAATTTCTCTAATTTTGGTGAATACTTACATGAATTCGATAAATACACTTGAAGACCTGTCCTCGGTACAAAGTAAAAGGTGTTTCAATAAGAAGGAATGATGTTAAACGTGAATTAAAAATCGGTGGTGTACAAAAATGAAAATTTCTTTAATAGAATATGTTTGGTAGGCCATTACAATTAAGTATGGAAGATAATGTCCGCCAAATGTTCGCCACGGCTCCGGCGGCACACGTCAATCCGCTTATCGAAATTTGCTATCACATCTCGACACAACTGTTCCTGAATCTCTTCAATGTGGCGTGAAATTTCGTCTTTGAGTTGCTGGATGGTGGTAGGCTTGTTGGCATAGACTTTACTCTTCAATTTGGGGCCATTTGAAGAGTAAAGTCTATGCCAACAAGCCTAC